GCGCTATGAGGGCCGCTAAGCTTCACGATGCTGCGATATCTTCTGGTATGTCCGTCAACATATCTAATTCTTTATTGCATTTTTCTCATGAGGACATTATTAATAATACAAAACAATTAGGAGTTTCACTAGGTGCTACTGATAATGAGATCTCTAATTCGGTGAATGATATGTTAGATTTGGAGGCGGAGTGTGCCTTAGAGACTATTCATAACCTTGCAGCGGTTAAACCCATGAATGATGAGGAGATTGATGCGTTAGGGGTTAGAGTGCTAGATAATCTGTGTGCGGATCTAGCACCTTCTAATCAGGAGTCTGAGGACGATGATGTGCCTTTAGATGTTCCAGCTGTTAGTTCCGTTCAGCCCGGTTATGAGGACCGGGCGACAGAGCCCACTAAGCCAAAGCGTAAGTGGAAACGGAAGATTTATCCCGATTCTGCAGTTCATAGGAGTGCTAGGATACGGACTACTAAAAAAATTCCATGATGAACTATGAAAGGAATCTTTCGGAATAGCAAAGGTCTGAAAGACTTGGCTAAAAGAAGGTTTCTTGCGGAGGCTTCTCTGGAACATTGGTTAGATTTTATTGCTCTATCGGAAACCAGTCGAGATAATTTTGCGCTGCAGTTTCTATCCTCTCTTGTGGGTGGTATTGATTTCGATTGGCATTTCCTCCGTCCGCGAGGAAGATCGGGAGGTATCTTACTGGGTGTGAGATGCGACTCCCTTGAAGTCCGGAGTGTAGTAATGGGCGACTTCGCGGTAAAGTTTCGAGTTAGGTCTAAAGTTGATGGGTTCAACTGGGCTTTGGTGGCGGTTTATGGTGCCTCACAGCCCGAACTTAAACCAGAGTTTCTGGCGGACCTGGTTCGGATCTGTGGATCCGAGCAGCTTCCGATGTTGGTCGGGGGTGATTTCAATATCATTAGGAGGAGAGAGGAGAAAAATAATGATAATTTCGACGGCAGGTGGTCGTTTATGTTCAATACCATTATTGAAAGCTTGGATCTAAGGGAGATAGAGCTTTCTGGTAGAAAGTTTACCTGGGCTAATGCTCTGCCAAACCCGACATATGAAAAGCTTGATCGAGTTCTCGCGAGCGTGGAGTGGGAACAGAAGTTCCCTCTTATTACGGTGCAAGCTCTCACGCGGGGAATTTCCGATCACACACCATTGTTCGTCGACTCAGGGGAGCCGAACCATTTAGGAAACAAAAACACCTTTTCATTTGAGATGGCCTGGTTCGAACGCGAGGGGTTCTTCGACCTCATAGCCAGGGAATGGGCTAAGGGGGTAGGAGGAAGAACGGCGGTCGAGCGTTGGCAGAATAAGATTACGCATTTGAGAAGTTTCTTACGGGGTTGGGCTAAGCACCTCAGTGGGGTGTATAAGATCGAGAAGGATAGGCTCCTTTCTCTTGTACAGGCCCTGTGCATAAAAGCGGAATCCGCGATTTTGCTGCCTCCTGAGCTCCAGGTCAAAAATGAGGCGGAGAAGAGGCTGAAAGAACTTCTTCACAAGAAGAATTGAAGTGGGCTTCGCGAGCTAAGGTCCGCAAAGTGGTCCAAGGGGACGCGAATACTCAATTCTTTCACCTCATTGCTAATGGTAAGCACAGAAAGAAGCGGATCTTTCAGCTTGAACAGGATGAGGGTACGATTTTAGGTCAAGATAATCTCAAAACCTATATTACCGAGTATTATAGACAGTTATTTGGACCTCTGGAGGATAATTGTGTGTCCCTCGATGAGTCCAGGACTGAGGATGTGCCTAAATTGTCTGCTGCTGATAATGATATCCTGGTTGCCCCGTTCTCAGAGAAGGAGGTGGTTGATGCTATTGCACAAATGAAAAACAATAAGGCTCCCGGACCGGATGGGTTCCCGGCCGAGTTCTATAAAAAGTGCTGGCACATTATTAAGGGGGATTTACTACCTATGTTTCATGATCTATTCTCTGGACAACTTCAATTATTTCACCTGAATTTTGGAACTATCACATTGCTCCCTAAGAAAACGGATGCTGTGAGAATTGAGCAGTTCAGACCAATCTGCCTCCTCAATGTTAGTTTCAAAATCTTCACCGAGGTCGGGACCAATAGGCTCACACAGATTGCGCATTCTGTGGTGCAACAATCCCAAACTGCTTTCATGCCGGACAGGAACATCCTTGAAGGGGTGGTTGTTCTTCATGAAACGCTCCATGAAATCCATTCCAAAAAATTAGATGGAGTAAATTTTAAGGTGGATTTCGAAAAAGCATACGATAAGGTCAAATGGCCATTCCTCCAACGGGCATTGCGTATGAAGGGTTTTGATGAAGCCTGGCGCCGACAGGTCGAATCCTTTACACAAAAAGGGAGTGTGGGAATTAAAGTGAATGCCAATATAGGTCATTACTTCCAGACACATAAAGGCCTCAGATAAGGAGATTCGATGTCCCCTATCCTGTTTAACATTGTGGTGGATATGTTAGCAATTTTGATAGGGAGGGCTAAGGAGAATGGTCAAGTGGGTGGTTTGGTACCTCATCTCATTGATGGAGGTGTTTCCATCCTTCAATACGCAGATGATACAATCATTTTTATGGAGCATGATTTGGCCAAGGCGAGAAATATGAAGCTGGTGTTATGCCTTTTTGAACAATTGACCGGATTAAAGATTAACTTTCATAAGAGCGAGTTGTTCTGCTTTGGTAGAGCCAAAGACGACCAGGAGTCTTATAGGCAATTGTTTGGGTGCGAGTTGGGGAGTTTACCTTTCTCATACCTTGGTATTCCGATACACCATCGTAGGCTGACAAACAAAGAATGGAAGTGCATCGAGGATCGATTTGAGAAAAAACTTAGATGCTGGAAGGGTAAGCTCATGTCATACGAAGGCCGCTTGATATTGATTAATTCGGTGCTCACAAGTATGCCTATGTTCCTCTTATCGTTTTTTGAGGTCCCAGTTGGTGTTAGGAAAAGACTGGACTTCTATCGGTCGCGTTTCTTTTGGCAGGGTGATGATCTTAAAAGAAAATACTGGCTTGCTAAATGAGACATCATCTGTCGACCGAAAGACCAAGGGGGTCTTGGTATTGAAAATCTTGAAGTTAAGAACAGATGCCTTCTTAGTAAGTGGTTGTGGAAGCTTTCTTCCGGGACTGAGGCCATGTGGGCGCAGATCCTCCGCAGCAAGTACCTCCAGACTAAAACATTTTCCCAGGTCGCAGTCAGACCGACTGATTCGCCTTTCTGGAAAGGACTAATGAAAGTCAAACAATCAATGTTCAATAGGACGAGATTTGTTATTGGAAACGGTGCAAGTACACGTTTCTGGGAGGATACTTGGCTTGGCGACTCACCTTTAGCCATTCAATATTCGTCTTTATATCGGATTGCTCAACGACGTGAGGTATTTGTGGCAACGGTATTTCAATCTATCCCCCTTAATATTCAGTTTAGACGGTCGCTAGCGGGCAATCGTTGGGAAGAATGGCTCCATCTAGTTAGGAGACTGATGGAGGTTCAAATTTCTCACCAACCCGATGGATTACGCTGGAAGTTGACTAGGTCTGGAGTATTTACAGTTAAATCAATGTATATTGATGTTATTAATTCGAACTCCATTCCAACTTCCAAGTATGTTTGGGCTGTCAAAGTTCCTTTAAAAATTAAAGTGTTTATGTGGTTTGTCCATAAACAAGTTATTTTAACAAAGGACAACTTGATGAAGCGTAATTGGACAGGACCTACTAGGTGTAGTTTCTGTGATCGGGATGAGACGATTAAGCATTTATTCTTTGATTGCCCGTTCGCCAAAGTCCTTTGGCGAACGATCCATATTGCTTTTAATATTACTCCACCGACTTCTGTCAATGCATTATTTGGGACATGGCTTAATGGGGTTGAGCCTGACTTAGCAAGACATATTCGGGTTAGAGTTTGCGCTTTGTTGTGGACTATCTGGAATTGCAGAAATGATTTGGTTTTTAACAGAACATCACGGATTCATTTTTTGCAGGTTATTTTCCGAGCTATGGCAGTGATCCGTTCGTGGTCGCTACTCACTTCGATGGAGGCCAGGGAGCGTTTGGTTACTGGATCTATCCGTTGGGAGATGGTAGCTCGGGATATCTTCAACCGGTTTGAATGGCGGTCATGTAATAGAATAGGCAATTAGTTTACCTATCTATTTTTAGCCAGTCGGTAGTGGCATTTTTTCCTGGTTAGTTTGTGTATCTAGCCTTTTTAAGCTCTGTGTGAGCTGCATTTTCCTTTTATCAACTGGAGACTTTGGAACCTTGTTGACACTTTTTGTCATTTGGTTAATAAGATGGCCGTATGCATCACTCTGATGCAGAGGCCGAGGAGCCCCCTTTTAAAAAAAGTGGATTTCCTAGATTATTTTTAGTTTTTTTGGTCCAGTCCATTTTTAAAGGTTTTTTGTTTTTCTATATACTTGCCGGGAGAGGCAGGAGCACACAACATTGCAATTATTTGTTATTTTACATTCTTCACGGGGTAATGACATTTTTTGGGCTTGTCCGATGGGAGGCATTTGGCTGGCCCACTGCAGGCCATCTTTTTTTATTTGACTTCACTGCAGGCCATCTGGCTGCACGTGGTTACCTAAAAAAAGAACTGGCTGCACGTGGAGTATTGTATATATATACTTCCTCTGTAAATTAATATAAGAGTGTTTAGATAACTAAAGTAGTGATCTAAACGCTCTTATATTAGTTTACGGAGGGAATATATATAGCGAACTAATAAATCGTTCGTTCGCTCGAACCAATCGTTCGATCTGCCGAACGTCAGTTCGTTATCGGGGACCAATATAAAAGCAAAGGAACCCAGGCAATTGTGCATTATGCTCCCTCAATTCAACGAGATAATTCTGCTGCCTATTGTTCCAAATCCTAAAAATGCCAATGGACAACTGAAAATTAAAGGTGAAAACGAAAAAAAATACTAATATATAGGAGTATAAATGTAAAGTACTCTATGCATATTCAACTTAGCACAGTCACCACGAGCAAGCCGTTGCCCGCCATCACTCTGTCTGCGTCTGCATGGCAGCTTTTGACGTCGCCATGGGCCTCCGCGCCGGTCAGCTCGCGCGCGCGAACGGCCTGATCTTCCCAGTCCGTGCGCTGCACCGCTCGCAGCATCAGGGCCGCGCACACCAGCTGTGCCGCCAGCATGCCGGCCCACATGCCCCGGAAGTCGAGCCGTGCCGGCCAGAACGCCAGCGCCAGAGCGGCCGGCATGCCGACGCCATAGAAGGCTGAGGCGTTGATCCTCGCGGCCTTTCCCGGCCGCGCGCTGCCGCGGAGCACCCCGCAACCCGCTGTCTGCGGGCAGTTGCCCAGCTCGGCGGCGCCGAGAATGGGCAGCGCCACGGACGTCAGCCGCAGGATGGCCGCATCTGCGGTGAACATCCGCGCCCATATGCCCCTCACGGACGCCGCGAATGCGCACGCCACGAGGCCCAGCGCGGCGCCACAGGCGAGGCCGACACGTGCCGCAAGGCGCGCACGCTCCGGCCGACCCGCGCCGAGCTCATGCCCGACGCGCGTGGACACGGCGCAGCTGAGGGAATGAGGGAAGATATACACCAGTGACGTGGTCTGTATGAGTATTCCCATAGCTGCCACCGCCGCTTTCGGGTCGGCGAGCACGCCGCAAAGCATGACCATGATCTCGTACCACCACCACTCCAGGCATACCGACATGCAGCTGTGAATGGAGAGCCTCACCAAGCGGCCCCATTCCAGAGCAGGTTCCTCCATCGGTGACAAACATGCGCCATCTTTGCCATCGCTGCCGCCATTGCCATGCGTTAGTCCGGAGAAGTACACGTAGGTCACGAGGAACAGCAAGAAGTTCAGGTTGGTGCAGACGGCTCCGAGGGCGACGCCGCGGATACCGAGGTGGAGACCCTGCACGAGGATGCAGTTGATGGGAACGTGGAGCAGGAGCGCGGCGGCGGCTGCGTACGTGATTGGGAGCGTGATGGCCTGCGCGCGGAGGTACACGCGGATCGGGTGGAGGAAGGACTGCACGAGGAGGTCTGGCAGCGAGCACATGATGAAGTCGTAAGCAGCGGCCGCAATGTCGGGGTCCTGCCCTGTAGCGACGAGGATGCGGTGCATGGCGACCCAGAGCAGGCTGACGGGGATGGACGCGACCAGGAGCAGCGAGACGGTGCGGCGGAGCGCCGCGGCGAGGACAGACGTGCGGCCGGCACCGAACGCCTGGCCGCACACCGGGTCCATACCGGCAGCCAGCCCGGAGAGCACCGAGTAGCCGGTGATGTTGGCGAAGCCGAGCGCGAGGGAGCCGCCAGCGAGTGGCAGGCGGCCGAGCCGGCCAAGAAAGATCATGGACACTAGGGAGCGCGCGTACATGAGCAGCCCCGCGCCGACCATCGGCACGGCGAGCCGCACGATGGAGGCCACCTCGGCACTCGCGCCGCCGCCACCGCCGCCTCGCGCTTTCTTTGGCCGGTCATGCAGCACGGGTGGCTGGAGCAGAGCCTCGTGGACGCATCGTGCTTGCTGCTGGGAGCAATGGCACATTGCAAATTTGCAGTGTGTTGCGTGCGTGCGTGTTGTTTTGGCAGCAGGGTGCGTGCCAGATGCTAGCTCAGTCAGGGCTTTGCTTGCGTACCTATCCATGGTGGCTTTGGATCGTATATATAAACCGTTGTGCTGACATCCTTTGAAAACTTTCGGTGTGTTTCCGTCCCATATTTTTGTGTGGGGCCTACAATATTACGGTTTGCTAAATCTCAATCGAGCGAGACTTAGCCATCGAATTTCATTAACCTGTGGGTCATCGAGGTTTCCATGTGTTAGTTTCTTCTTTTCTTTGAGGGGTAATGCGTGTTTCTTTAGGGGTCGAATGGTATGCTTATGACTAGTATGTTTTTTTTTCGAGAATAGTGACTAGCTTGTCTAGGGCTGTTTCTATCGTAGCAGATGGTGGGCTATCGCTTGGGGTCATTGTCCATCCATCCTGGCCTTTTTTATGTGGGCTATAGGTTGTGGCTTGCTGTGTTATTTTTATTTTATTTTTCATTTTCGTTTTTCTCATAGTTTATCCGCGTAACTGTTTGGATTCTCTAATGTAAATGTTTACTCTCCTTTTGCTAAAAAAAATGTTTATTCTCCTCTAAAATTATATTTAAATGTTTACTCAAAAACTAAGGTTTTCCCCTATGAATTAATATAAGGAGGAAAAGCAGGAAAAAAATATAGCGGTTGGTAGTTCGTAGGGCATCTCTGATATTGTTTTTAGGTGGCATTTTCTTTGTTCTTTTTATTTTTTAGACGCATAATATTTGATATATTGAAACTGCACTAACCTTTTTGTGCAACTAACCATATTAGAATGTCATCTTGTATTTTATTTTATGATAATTTATCAAAATACAACTAATCTATGATACTCCTACATGTTTTTCTTGTATCTTTTTTTTGCAACTCTAATTTTTTATGCATTGTATACTTACATATTTACTATGTACCCCCTCCATTCACAAATATAAGATGTTCTTAAATGTATTTGTTCACTCATTTTAGTCCATATGTTCTATTCAAAATATCCAAAACATCTTATATTTATTTGAGTATACCAAATTAGTTTATCTATCTGTTGTTTCTTAAGTAGGGAATTCCTTCATCTCGGGTGAGGTAGGTAATCTGCCATAATTTATTTCCTTTTACTTATACTCCCGTTATGATGGAAATAGAAAAAATTGATGATAGGAATACTCGAGAGCCAGTTGTTAATGTCTTATAGCCCACAATGTGAACAATCGGAGTATTATTTATAAAATTCTAAATAAGACTAACATATAATGTGTGTGTGTGTGCCAGCAGCGTTTGATGCTAGGGGTGGCTGGATGATGGCATTTTAATTTATTTTTGATTTTTTGTCTTCTTTGTACTGTTGCATGAGAACAATATGCAAGACGATCTTCAGGAGGAAATGTTTCTAGTTGCATGTCCACCTCTCGACATACAGTTGCCCTCAATGGCTTTGAGTTACATATTCGTCCTCGACACGCAACTGCCCTTGGTGGTCGCCAGTTGCATGTCCGCCCCCTTGACACACAACTACAACTGGCACAACACAACTGTAACTTATGTGCGAGGGGGTGGTGGTGCATTTTTTCTCAATTTGCATGTCCTCCCTCTTGATAGGCAACTTCCCTTGCTGGCATCTAGTCGGATGTCCACACTTTACACGTAGCTACATCCGATGGTAGCCAGTTGAATGTCCACCCTCGCACGCAACTGCTTCCAACTGTGTGCGTGCAGCATGTGGCCCTAAGGGAAGGCCCAATGCACACCTACAAACTCACAACAAGGCTATATATGGAGCTTGGTGGGATTAGTGGCACAAAATATCAAGAACATTGAAATCCAAGATATTGTAAATGTTGAGATCAATCCAAAGGACTCAAAATGCAAAGCAAGTGATCACAAATATAGAGGAGGGCATTAAAGAAACACACGTGGTGGGATAGTGGGGCTTGTGCAACAACAGAGATGAGCAATATAAAATTGCCTAATGAATACTAACTTGTGTTGCACAAACACAAGGAGAGACGCTAGCTTGATTGCATATTTGGGCATGATTCACCACTTGGCAGCAACCTACATATGCAAGCAAAATGTTTTCCTATACCATGTATCCTCATGCACAAGTATATCTTTTCATGCTCAACTCTTTGCTTATAAGATTGACCATTCTTTCTTGCTTAAAAGTTTTTTTTTGCTTTTTCTCTCCCTTTCCAATATTCTTATTGAGCCTCAACCAAATATACAAGATAAGTATCACAAGATATGCACATGAGTAAGCTGTCGTATGATATATCAAATGATGCAACAATATGTTATCATATCTATGGTGCTCAAGTTTTCGTGAAGCCCGGAATACTCGAAGATTTAGTCTCAATAGGTATAATAGTGATCGGAAATATGGTGGGGCTGTCATAATGGAAAGGAAGGAAAACTTTGTGACGGTATGGATACCTTCCTCACACTTAACCTTTCACGAAATCGGGGGTAATCGACCTTGCTTCCGGTTGAAGGTGGTCTCAAAGGATGGAGCGGCCGTCGATGGTTGTGGAAGTTCGTGTGTTGATGTAGTCAATGGCGTAATAAAAGTTAATGAAGATTTGACCCAATGGTCACTTTTGATGAAGTGGCGTTGGTGATTCGGTGGCACGAATGTGATGGCGGCTGGAGGGGTTGCGATGTCGATGGAGAACCTCAAAATGTTTTCGGCCAAAAGATGTGGAAACCTAGATGAGGGTCTCGGGCACGTCAATAGCTTCAAACCAAGCCAAAGAGCGTTCAAATCAGAGTCTGGAGCGAAAAGTTAGGGCCTAAACGGTGAAGAAGGGCAATGCTGAAATTTCGTTCACACTCTTTGTTTGCGTGGAAGTTCTGGGGGTAGGGGCGGAAGTTTTGGGGGTCGCGGATGATGTCTGGGTTTGACCAGGAAATTTTAGTGTCAACTCTCTGTTTAGCCGAGAAATTCCTGGGTCTGGAAGTTCCGGGAGTGCATGGAAGTTTCGGGGTTCGCGGAAATACGTCTGAGACGAACCCCAAATTTCATATCTGAGAATGGGGTCGGGAAAACGTGATTCAAGGGAAAATTGAAGGGGGTAAAGGAAAATTTGGGGCTAGGGAATGCCAACGGAGGTAGATCCACTTGCTAAACACTACACCCACCGAAAGGAATCAACAACAACTCACTAGAACATCAAATTACAAGAATTTTTTTGGGCCTATTTATGGGAATTTTTTTGAATTGGGAAGAAAAATTCAAACAAAAGGCTAGAAAAGTGGGCAGCTAGGGGTCCAAATTCGTGGCAACCTTGCTCTTTTCCAAGATGATGTAGGGCAAGCCTCTAGGGTGGCCCGTTCTTCATTAATTGGAGGGGATTCGAGGAAGAAAATGAAGAACATGAGGATAAACATGAAAATCAACACACATAGATGCAAATAAAGGCACGCGTAGATTGATCCATGACCCAAGTCATCCAAACAATGAGATGGAACAATATAGTTCTTCTCCAAGTCCTAGAACAAGGAGGGCTTGATGATTCTATGATGGGAATCCTTATCCACAAGTGGAGGTCTTGTGTGTACATAATTATGCTACTGTTATGATTGTGTTATCATTTTTCTATTTTCTTGTGTGTACACAATTATGCTACTGTTATGATTGTGTTTTAGTGTTTCAATTAGTGTTTGTGCCAAGCAAAGCCTTTGAGGTGATTTGGGTGATAGTTGCTTTGATTCTATGCATTAACAGAAACTTTTGCGTCCAGTAGCAGAAGTGATGTGTTCTGCTGGAACGTTTAAAATTCTGAATTTTTTACACATAATTAATATAAAAATTGCCCATGTTGTCCTAATTTTTCAGAATTTTTGGAGTGACAGAAGTATGGTCAATTTTCAGATTACTACGGACTGTTCTGTTTTTGATAGATTTTGTTTTCGTTGCGTTGTGTGCTTTGATACGCCTCCTCGTATCTACTTTTCCAAACTCTTTTGTCCTTGTTTTGGACTCTAATTTGCATGATTTGAATGGAACTAACCCGGACTGACGTTGTTTTCAGCAGAATTGCCTTGGTGTTATTTCTGTGCAGAAATAAAAGTTCTCAGAATGACCTGGAAATTCACGGAGAACATTTTTCGAATAAAAAAATATTGGCGAAAGAATCAACCAGAGGGGACCCGCCAGCTGTCCACAAGGGTGGGGGGCATGCCCCCTGCCTTGTGGCTCCCCTGGACCTCCACCGACCTCAACTCCAACTCTATATATTCACGTTCGGAGAGAAAAAAAATCAAAGAGAAGGATTCATCGCGTTTTATGATATAGAGCCGCTGTCACCCCTTGTTCTTCATCGGGAGGGCAGATCTGGAGTCTGTTCGGGGCTCCGGAGAGGGAAAATCATCGCCATCGTCATCACCAACCTTTCTCCATCACCAATTTCATGATGCTCACCGCTGTGCCTGTGTAATTCCATCGTAGGCTTGCTGGATGGTGATGGATTGGATGAGATTTATCATGTAATCGAGTTAGTTTTGTTAGGGTTTGATCCCTAGTATCCACTATGTTCTGAGATTGATGTTGCTATGACTTTGCTATGCTTAATCCTTGTCACTAGGGCCCGAGTGCCATGATTTCAGATCTGAACCTATTATGTTTTCATGAATATATTTGTGTTCTTGATCTGATCTTGCAAGTTGTAGACACCTATTATGAGTTATGATCCGCATACCCCAAGGTGATAATAATTGGGATTCTTTCCGGTGATTACCGTAGTTTGAGGAGTTCATGTATTAACTAAGTGCTAATGCTTTGTTCCGATTCTCTACTAAAAGGAGGCCTTAATATCCCTTAGTTTCCATTAGGACCCCGCTACCACGGAAGGGTAGGACAAAATATGTCATGCAAGTTCTTTTCCATAAGCACGTATGACTATATACGGAATGCATGCCTACATTATATTGATGAATTGGAGCTAGTTCTGTGTGACCCTAGGTTTAACTGTTGCATGATGAATGCCATCCGACATAATTATCCATCACTGATCCACTCCCTACGAGTTTGTTTCTGTTGGGGAACGCAGTATTTCAAAAAAATTCCTATG